GTAATACTTTAAATTACCATTGAGTGGAGCTGTGTTTAAAGACAGAATGCCTGAGGAGCAGATGCCTCCTCATCAGCCAGCAAACAAGTGTTCACCACAGAGATGTGCACCCAGACATGTACAGTACTGAGGCAGGACAAGGTACCAGGATGACAGAGGCTCTGGGTGCCATCCACCAGGGCAGGGCAGGCCCAGGCCAGCTCCCTGTTGGCACAGTGCTCTGTCCACCCACACTAGCTCTACTGTCTCAGTCCATCTTTAAAGTCTCCCCTGTGACCCTCTACCAGGACAGCCAGAAGCCACAAAGACGATGACGCTAGAGACCAGGCTCAGGGAGTCAGGACACATGTACTCCTCCGCTGCTTGACCCTCAGCCCTGCCACAAGACAGACGCAGAGTGAGGGTGGAGTCCAGCCCCATCCTCAGTGACACCTGAGAATAAATGCTGCAGCTCCACTGAGACAAACCTACCCATCTCCAGGATCACACTGCAACATAAAAGCCACTGGGCCTGCCCATCCTCCCAACATGCATCAGTGTCCAACTTCCAATGTCACATTTGCACACTTGGCTGAAGAAAATAACTCTCATGACAGTGTACTGAACTGTCCCGTTCTCAACACCATGTGCTTGTTGATATAAAGCGCACCACACTGGAGAACTGAAGGAAGGAGTTGTACACAGGAGGTGCCCAACACCACACGGAAAGACTGAAGGAAGGGGGAGTATACAGCAGGTGGGAAACGCCACACTGGAGGGCTGTAGGCAGGAACACACGCAAAGGCCACAGCAATGAGGAATACAGTACACCCAATAGTAAAGACAGAGACCTGTTCTGCCACACTAGGAGCAGAAGCTGCCTTATGCTACGCCCAAAGCAATCCATCTCCTGGGCACCTACACTGACAAATACTCACTACGAAAAATACTCAAAGGCACAATGGAGAAAACTGAACTTGAGAAGTAGTGGCCTATGCTATTCACCCTGAAGCCTGTGTTAGCATGTACGTTCACTGGCTTCCACCTACTTAAGAACCACATCTCTCTCCCCTCTCTCTTTCCCCTACCTCCCCCATCCCTCCACCCACCCCCCCCCACACACACACACACACTCCTGCTTCCCTAACAGACATCGAACCATTCCCAGCATTCCTTCACTGAAACAGGAGTGGAACTCGGGATCAAGCACTAGAGGCAAGGAATCAAAAAACACAAAATCCTCTGCCTCCTGTCCATTAAAGTAAGAGCTATTGTAATGGTTAGTTTTATGTCAACTTGACATATGTTTGGATCATCTGTGAAGAACAACTCAATAGAGAAAATGCCCCCATAGGACTGGCATGCAGGCATGTCTGTGGAGGCATTTTCTTGATGACTGATGTGGGAGGGCCCAGCTCACCGTGGGCAGTGCCACCTCTAGACTGACTGGTGGTCCTGGGTACCGTAAGAAAACGGCCTGAGCAAACCAAGCCATTAAGCAGCATTCCTCAATGGCCTCTTTCAGTCCCTGCCCTGACGTCCCCCAGGAGTGTGACCTGAGAGTTATAAAATGAAATAAGCCCATTCCTCCCCAGGCTGCTTTTGGTCATGGTGTTTGGTCACAGCAATAAAACCACTATGGGCAGGTACCAGACTGAAAACGAGATTATGCTATGGAAACCTAGACTACTATTACATGATGCTATGATTTCTGAGGGAGTGGGGGAGTTGACACAATCTACATTTAGGACCCCAGGGTTTCTAGGGTGCTTGGGATGCGTGAACATTTCTTCAGCTCTTCCATGTTAAACTGGCACACACTACATACAAGTTCCATGAGAAGCCTGGCACCAGCCGATGTCTCAGATTTGAGGGTGTTTATATACACATGAAGCCACCTCAAAGATGGGACCAAGTATAAACATGAAATCCACTTGTTTCTTTACATCTTACACCATACCTGTGTTTTCAACACAACCCACCCCAAGGTGAGAACTGACTGTGGTATATTGGTGCTCAGTACACTTCTGACAGTTTATTAGAGTTGCTCAACCTATTTGTTTAATGAATCCTTATCTCCTTTATTAGATCTTTCACTTACCTCTTTCTGACGATCTACAAACCGAATCCTCCTGTAGTCTTTTTCATCATAAACCTATAAAAAAAAGACCATCTAGTATTTTTATAATTGAATTCTGAATGAAGTCACATGATATTTATCACAAATATTATAGTTTAATGTTTGTGGCCTGCAGTCACAAACGAGGAGACAGACCCTCCAAGAGGCAGGGTACTTGTACTGAAGGAGTCCCATGAGTGCACACTGGAGACAAGACAAGCCCCTGCCAACACTGATAGCCAGCTCTAATAGGCGACATTTCAAGAAGAAGCTGCTTTTGTTTTTTCTCGCCATTATATTGAACGTTAGGATTGCTTTACACCCTATTACTAAAAACTTGAAACTTAATATAAAGATATGACCCAAAGAGTGGGTGAATAGCAACTCCCGCCTGGAAGCCACTATCTATTAGTCAGAGCTGGGGTTGTGGGCTGCACCCCAAGGTGAGCCCGGTAGGGCTGCGCGCGAGCCTGGCAGAAGCACACCTTGCTACGCGCCCTGCCACCGTCAGTCTCGGGCTCCAGGCGTGGCGACCGCGGCCGTTACCTGGCCGGTGTGCGTGATCTTCTCCCCGCTCGGCGACACTCGCACCCCGAAACCCCGCGCAGCCCCTGGGAGAGCAAGCAGTCGGCGGAAGGTCAACGCCACCGCCATCTTGCCGCTGACCCTTGACCCAGCGCGTCGTACGAAGCGCCGACGCAGGCGCACAGCTGTCGGCGGGACCGCACTCGCGGGACTTATTTCGTCCTGCGGTCTCCCTAGGCCGGCCTGGCAGGCTGTTTCTTCTGCGGGATGGGACTTAGAGCTGCTGATTTGCTGTGCGCTGTGTTCAAAGCTTACTAGCGCGACAAAGGCAAGGGAGGCGGAAACTGGAGATGCGCTGTGTGTGCTTTTATGACCATAGAGAAAATACAAAATTTCAATATTGTTTACTGAGTAAAGAAATAGTTTGTTCAGCAGAAGAAACGGGACATGCACTTAACTTTTCTAGTCGTGAGTGTTGGGGAGGGAAAAGGGAGACTTCTGAGCATGCTTGCAAGAGCGCTAATCAAGTTTCCAGTTAGACTGCCAGCAATTTTACCCAGCTTGGAAAAGCAACCTTGAAAAGCTCTGCGAAGTAGAGAGACCTGATGCATATTGCCCTCTCCTCCTCCCCACCACTCTGGAGAGCATGTTGGCCATCTCACCTGAACCCGAGTCAGAACCTCCCTCAGAACATCATACACTGTCAGACATACAGTAAGCAACTTTGCTCAGGTGTGCACAAGATGGGCATGGACTCCAGACTCGGAGCAGGGGTGGGTCACTATTTCCAAGAAAGTGCTAGAACCAAGCATGTGTTGTTTGGGATCCTCGGGCAGGATTGGAGGCTGATGATCTGCACTTGGCTCTGTACTTCAGCCATAGCATAAGGACTAGTTGAGTCTGAAGACAAAGGGAAGATGACCAGAGAAGGTAGTAAGACACAAGGACACACACACAAACGCCTCATAAAGTTGAAAATTGGCCTGATAAATGGACCTAAATTGCCCAGTCTAGCCTTAAGCTAGCCTTCGGAGTACTGGGATTTCAGGCTAATTTTATGTCACCACAACATCTTCTACAGATTCGTCGTTCTCCCTCTTTAAAAGATATATTTCCTTTTATTTTATGTGTTTGAGTGTTTGCATCTACGTATGCATGTGTGGGTGCCTGGAACCAGGAAAAGGGCGTAGGATCTCCCGGAAGCAGAGTTGCAGATGATTTGGGCCACTGTGTGGGCGCTGGGGGCTGGAGGATGGTCTTCAGCAAGAGCAACAGGTGCTCTTACACAGATTAAGCCAGAGTTTTTTCAACCTGTGGGTAGCGACCCCTTTGGGGGGGGGGTCAAACAATTTTTTCATGGGGGTTACATATATAGATATTCTGCATGTTGGATATTTACGTTATAATTCATAATGGTAGCAAAGTTACAATTACGAAGTAGCAACAAAAATAAATTTTATGGCTGGGGGTCATCACAATATGAGGCACTACTGCATTAAAGAGTTGCAGCATTAGGAAAGTTGAGAACTACTTCCATAAGCCATCTCTCCAGCCTTGACTTTTCTTCAAATGTCTTGTGTGTGTGCGCGTGTGCGTGTGTGTTCATACACACATGGGTTCACACATGCATGGATGCCACGAATCACATGTGAAAGTTAGATAGTCGGTCTCTCCCACATGGGTAATGGGGGTTGAATTTAAGCTTCCAGGCTTGCATGGCAAGCGCTTTTCACCCCCAAGCCATCTCTCTGGGGTCAAGGTGTTCCCATATCCAGGTGCCAAGATGGGCTAAGTGAACTTTGTGTGAAGCGAGAGACTGGGAGCCAGAGATGGGAAGGGCAGGCAGCCTTGCGGGCAACCTACTTTGCTGTGTGTAAAAAAATAAGACGGATGGATTTACAGACTGCCTGAAACCCAACATATAAGAGAGTTAACTGTAGAGGCCAGTGACGGTGTGGGGAGTTCACTGTCAAAGTCTTTCCACACTTCCTGGAGCTTGACATAGTTTGGGGACCGGGGAGGGACTTAACTAAAGCAGTGTCTGCACTTGCTCTCCTGCATTTCATGTGTGCCAGAATGGCACTTAACATAAACACTTGACCTGTACATTTTATCTGGGTGTTGACGTTTTCCAACATATTCGCCGTTGGCAGTTCCTTTCTCAGTCGAAGTCTGCATTACTTAGTTCTTGCCTTCTCCTCGAGGGCACCGGCACCCGCAGCGGCGGTGCCCGCCTACAGGACTCTCAGGGAGGGCGGCACCTCCGGAAGCGCGCTCCTTGGCCTTCCGCTCCCACGTGACCGCACGCCATCTTTGTTGTTGCCGGTGGCGTCGCCGCCCCACTGCGCAGACGCGGAAGCTCCCGGTAGCCGGCGCCTGTGGCCTCGTGGGTAAGAGCTTGCCGCGGGTGGCACCCTTCCCCAGGTGCGGGTGTCGCGTTCCGTGGGCGGCAGGTAGAGGCGTGCGGCCGAGCTGCTTGCAGGGAGTGCGGGCGGGGGCCCAGGCCGAGCTTGCGCCTCAGGAATCTGCGGCTTCCCTGGGGATGCTCGCAGCGGGGCCCGTGGGGACGCGGAGCCATGCGTGCAAGCCTGACAAGTGTGCTCTGACCTCTGACTCCAAGGATGGCCGTTTTTCTTTTTTCCTACGCTAGGGACAGAGGCAGACGTCTCTGACCACGCTTTTCTCCCCCACAGGTCTGGCCTCACTCAGCATGGCCGCCCTGCTTGTGAGAAGCGCGGTGGCTTCGCTCGTGGACCCGCTCCTGCACCTGAGTCGCCTCGCGGTGAAGCCTCGGGCCTTCTCCTCATTCCTGCTGGGGACCCTTCCAAGCGCCAAACCCTGCGCAGAGGTGCGCTCCCTTCTCTGGGGCCGCCCCCTGCCGCTCTTGCAGCCCTCGCAGGGCTTCAAGACCAAGGGCGTCCTCAAGAAGCGCTGCAGGGACTGCTACAAGGTGAAGAGGCGCGGGCGCTGGTTCATCCTCTGCAAGACCAACCCCAGGCATAAGCAGAGGCAAATGTAAGGGCAAATGCCCGTGGGAAATTCGTCTCACCGTACCTAAGAAAAATAAATGTAAACATCCTGGAATCTAAGATCTGTGAGCCTTAGGGTTTTGTTGAATTCACCCTCTTTTCCCCCTGCATCATTGCCTGCTTCCTTCAAATCTAGTCAGTCCAGAATTGCAGATGGAGAAGGATTGTTACCCTTCTTGCAGCTGTGTGTTGGGCTGGAGGATAGAAGAAATAGGAATACAATGCTAGCATTAAGTCTTGAGACAAGGTCTGGCTCTGTAGCCTTGGCTGACCTGAAACTTGCAGAGAACCCCCTGTCGCTGCCTGCCCTGCATTCGTTAATCAATGCAGCAGAATGCAAGTGCTTCCAAGAAATAAACTGAGCTGGAAGGTTCCTCAGGGGAGCACAGCAATCCCAGCTTAAAAATAAACGATGTTGTTGGATAGTGAATGTCCCAACCTTTACTCAAGGAGAACCTTGTTTAACATTTGATGTCTTTCTGACACCAATTAAAAATGTTTGTCACAGCTGTTCTTAAAAGCTGTAGTAGTGTTTGTATTTTATACCAGCAAATTTATGCTTTCAGAAGGTTAATCCATTTCTAGCTCCAAGAAGATGACAAAGTACATTGCCTTCTGAAGGGATCGTTAAGACACCGGCTATTTTTCAAAGCTTACATTCATTAGTATTAAAAAGCCAAGCTAGGGTTCCTGTTCCCCTTTAAGTAGGTCTTGGGCACTGTGCTTCTTTGTGGTTTTAAATCTCACTAGTCTAGTGAACTTCAGGTTCACCTTGTGTAGTCCACTTTCATTCCAGACTACCGCATGGTTTGTGACTCTGATGCAAAGTGCTATGGACCCTCTGTCCCCTCTAGGGAATGATACCTGATAGCTGCTGGTATGCTGGATCATTTTCCTGGAGTGATGAAATCAGAGGTGTTTTCACTGGGGAAATGACTATGGCCTTTTCCTGGGGTCTTACAATAGCTGTTGGGACTGTAGACAGCTAAAGTTCTGATACTTGGTGCGCAGGTAGGTGTAGGCAGGGACCCTCCAGAAGGCTTTGAGAAAAAGGATCCTGGCAATAATGTATTTTTTTAAAGGAGACGAGAAAACCATGTGCTGTGATCTGTTGCACTCTGAAGGGCATGTGTGAGCATGCATGTGAACATGAAGCCTGGAGGAAAGTCTGGGGACACAAGAGCTGGTGGTGATGAGTAAAAGCAGCAACCTAGAAGGAGAAGCACCCGGCACAAACAAGTATAAGCAAGTCCTCAGGCTCATTATCCACACGAGGTCACACGAAGCTGGTTTACAAGCCTGAACTCTTATGGGCAGAAAGCCGCTGATGGGCCCAGGCAGCAGGAGGTGAGGAGCAGAAACCCACGTAAATACCTGGCCAGCAAAGGGCCATGGGCCAGGGTGACCTGACCGGACAGGCCTGACTGCCAGCACCCTTTTCTCATGGTCACTTCTATGAGGCCATTTAGTTCTGCTTCTGGGACTTTGAAGACAATAGTAGGTAGTGGGAGAGCTAAGATGTGAATCCCAACTCCACCATTTTTAGCTGTGTGATGATGTTCCATTCTGTGCTAGGCGCTTCAGTTCCCTGTATCAGATGGGAAATTCTAAGTTTCAAAGCTATAATGTCAGAATCAGAAGAATCAGTGTGTGCCTGTCACTGCATTAGTAATACAAGACATTTGTCATCCTTTTATTCCCAGTTGAAGTTGCTTTCAATAGGAATAGCTAAACTCTTGAACAGCCTAACCCCTGGCAATAGGCAGGGCCCGGTTGGTGAGGTAGGATTTCTGTTGATATGAAGACATTCATGGCTGTTTGGAAGAAGTGGGAAGTGCCTGGCTCACCTCTTGGATTTTTCTCATGGTTCACAGCTTTGAGTCATTGAGAATGGCTTTGTAAGACCTGTTTGTGTGATCACCAGGGCACTAGCTGTAGTCCTTTCTTCAGGAGATGGCACAGCATGGCAGTGACAGTGACCCTCGGGCTGCTCACAGTGTAGAAAATTCAACCTGCCTCACCAGCTCCCAGGGAGTGAGGGGAATGGGGGAGCATTCTTAGGACCTGGCTTCTGGCTCTGGCAGGCCTGAGGAGCCCCCATTCTAATCTTCTCCTTGATTGGTTGTGCTGACAGGGTAATTAGTGAGTCCTTCCCTGGCCACTAGGACCAAGCTACACTGACCTCATACTTGATCAGGTACACTTGCAGATGGCCTCTCAACCCTTCCCATCCCGAGTGCAGGCAGGGCCATGCATACAAGTCAGATAAGAGCAACGCTTCCCTTTCTTTCAGTGGTTGGCTTATTTTTATCTTTGTCATGATGACAATGTAAGTCTTAAAATGCTGTATTTTTTTTTTTCTCTAAATTTAAAAATTTAAAGCCTCAATTTACTGAGCTGTGTTTTTCCCAGGAAAGCTTAATTCTTTGGATAAAATGTGGCAAAAACATTAGTTACATTAGTTCCTTTCCCTGGAACAGCGTCACAATGTTCTGACTAGACCTTGTAGGCTCTGATGGCCAAATAAAAACCAGTAAACTAAGCCACTGTCTCTGGTCCTCTGCCCACACTGGGTGCCGGACACTGATGAGAGGGGCCCTTCCTTTGGCATCTTTGGCCAGGTGAGTTATCACTGGCAGATGTCACCTGTGCCCTTCAGTTAGATCTGATGTCTCACTAGCACAGGTCTCAACTGGCCCCTAAGCATGTTTGCCCCCACTGACTCTCAGCAGGATACTAGTGCCCTTGACAGTTCACCACAGCCTACAAAACACTCGGCCCAAGAAAACTAAGAATGAGACCTAATACAAAACGACTTGAAAATGGTAAGCTTGCAACACGATGAGATAAATTTGTGTGTGTGTGTGTGTGTGTGTGTGTGTGTGTGTGTGTGAGTGACTCATTTTCACCGTTTCAAATGTGCACGTCTCAATGTTAAACAATAAGGATGTACATGTGTTCTTGGCAGCCCGTGGCTGTGGCTGTGTACTCCTTATTTAGACAGAGAGGGCCAGGAACCTAGGAACCTCTTCATATAGTGTGACAAAATGAGACCAAAGAGGCTTTATGAGACTGGGTATGGTGTGGAAGACCCAAAATGAAGACTGTTGTTGAGCCATCACCCATCATGGTAGCTACTGTTTTAAGGTCCTCTGGGTGATCTGGATATTGCATTGGATGAAAACAGAATGAACGATCTTGAAGATTATGGGCTGCATAGACCCCCAAGAAGAAGAGATGGCGCCAGCTGTGTCAAAGAGATCTAGATGAGGGGAAGCCAAGTGCTGTGGCAGGACAAGACAGGATCAGGGTAGAGAGGAGTTTAATGCTACACATTAAAGCCAAGCACCTTCCAGGAATGACGGTGACAGGGCTAAAGAGTCAAGTAGAGGAAGGCAGGGAAGGGCTTCATTGTGGGTGAGAATGAAGACTCAGGCTGGAGTGGTTTCAAGAGCGTCTAGACACCTCTGTGTGCACCATCTACCAGGCTCCTGTGTGTCTCCTGTGAGCCATGGGATGGGCTGCCCCTGCAGGGTAAGGGAGCAAGTCCCTAGGGAGAGAGGTCTGTTCCTCTTCCTGAGGCTGCTTCAGGCATACTCCCCCTCCCCCCAGCATACACACTAAACACAGCCACACACCACATACCTCAAAACACACACAACGCATTACACAGAAATGCCAAGGTCTTGTTCCTGGTGGCACTCTCCTCTTCTAAGTATGACTTGAAGCCAAACTCCTTCCAACCATGTCTAGGACAAGCCTCACCTAGACATCCCGACCTAGGTGTTGAAATCAAGACTAAGGTACAAGACAAATCCGCTGTGGCTTAAGGTAGAAACCCTCTCTTTGGAACACAACATAAGCTACATGGATTCAGGCAGGGGAGAGCCTGGGTATGCAAAGCCCGAAAAATAGATGTTTCCACCATTCTGCAACTGTCCCTTCTTGGACAGGCTCCAGAGTGGCTTACATTTTCCCCTTTAAAGAGTTTCCAGCCACTGTGGGTTGTTTGTGTGACTGTGTGAGACTTACCGAGACTTACCCAATCTTAACTCTCTTTTTTTTTTTTAATAAACCAGCATAAAGTAGAATTTATTTACATAATGCAATGATCCGTGAAGGTTACCATAACACCGAGGGACCATATTAGCCGCTTGAATGGAATTCATTAGAAATTAACTACCACTTAAATTAATTTTCCCACAGTCACAAGGCTGTAATGGCAGGAGAAGGAGCCGTCCATCAGCGTGCTGACAGGAGACCTGTCACCACCATTATTTATAGGTTAGTGTGTCAGCCATGGAGCAGGCACCAAACACAAACCTCTGGACTCAGAAAGGCCACTTTAAAGGGCCCCCAAATCCCCTTCTTGATAAGGACCCAGCCTTACCATTCCTCACCCTCCCCCACACTAGCAGCAGGGAATAGGCAACAACTGATCATGTGGACACAGCCCAGAGGGACAAGTCCGTTCAGAAATTGTACTGTAAAGTACACATACTTACAGGCAGTACTGGTGACGGACTTTGGGGCTTTTAAAAGGCCACTCAGGACCAGCGAGTCCAGAGCCCAGTGTCAGATCAACGATCTTAGGCTTCCCTGGAACGAGTCCAGAACTCAAGGGAAGATCTTGTAAGGACTTGTTTAGAGCACAGCCCATTTGTGCACACATGTGCATTAGGCCATTGTAGTGTGGGATGGTATGTTTGCAAAAACAAAGTGTTGTCTGGTGTGTTTGTGCAGTATTCATGTATGAGGACACATATGCACACACATTTCTGCTCATACATTGGGTTTTTGGGGAATGTGCAAACAGTACACATATATGGTGTATCTAAATGTGATGCATCACTGTGGGTATACATTGCCAGTGTGAACTCCCCTGTGAATTGTGCAGGCGTGCTTTCCTGTGTATGGTGGGTGTTCATGTGTACATTTGTACACTTGCATGAGTGTGTACTTGTGTTGTATGTCTGTCCATGTGAGTGCATTGGTAAATAGCCCAACCAGAACACCAAAGAGGCCTTGTCCCCTGATTAATATCTGGACCAATAATTTTG